GTGGAGGATTTGTGGTGCTGTGCCTCTGTGAAAATGAGCTTGGGCCAATTTCAAAGCAGCACTTTGTCATGAATGGTCAAAAATCCACGTTGAAATGCTGGGAGGAGCGTTACAGAAACATCTGAAAAGCTGCATTATCCCGTTGTAAAGTGAAAAGGAAGGGGGAAAAAAAAGAAGGAACAATGGAAAATGGTTTGCCTGAATTGTCCATGTCTCAAGGAAAGGCAAATTTAACCTGCTGTAATGCAGGGTCACTTCCTGTTAGCAAAACCCCCTGAAGGGAGAGGGAGGAAAATGTAAAAAGATACTTTACAGTAAAACAATATACTTATTTTGTTCAGAGATCAAGGATTCTTTCTTTTCTTTTTTTTTTTTTTTTTAAAAAAAAAAGCACTTTTGAAAACCTACTCCTGGTTTTACAGAATATTTTTAACTCCTCCAATATCATCTGGTTTTCACTAAGTCATTATTCAAAAACTGAATTGTTGTCTTTTTCTTTCTTGAGTAATTACTTTTCTCCAAATGTAATTAGGATTTTTTTTTTTTTTTCCTGAACTCTTTTCCTCTATAAGCAGCTGAACTTTTACAACGTATTCACTAAATTTTATTAATGGAGTCATTCAGCTTTCTGTTGCTTTGAGTTTTGTTCTCCTGTATCTCCCAAAGCATTACACTTGCGTGTCTTTGTTCATTACTTTTAAAGCCTTTCTTCAGCTGGGATAATAGAAAAAACATATATTGCTAGTCATCCAGTTGCAATTCTAGCTATTCTCACAGGGACATATATATTTCAAGTTTGGTGCGTGGGGATTTAGATATACAATTCCAGATAGTCTTAATGAGAGTAACAGTCCTAATTCCCCACTCGCTATATTAAAAACGGATCCAGAAGGCACAGAGTGAAACTCTCTGATCTTACCTTTAAGTACCTTTGCTTTTTTTTTTTTTCCCTTTTTTTTTTTTTCCCCTAAATATCATTTGCATCTGCATTCGTTAGGTAAGGTAATTGACAGCTGCTTTGAGGATGAGGGAGCTGATCTTTGGAGCCCATGCCTGCTTTGCTTTGCTGTTTTCCCAGGGCTTGACTGTGCCTGGTGCACCTTTTCAATTGAAAGGTTAATGCAACAGGGAGTTAGAGGAAAGAATTGACCACATTGGCTCCATTATTATTCTGATTGCCTTTGATGTCAGACAAGAACAAGGTGCACCTTTTCTTATTGCCTTAATTAACTACACACACACAAAAAAAAATCCCCTGCATACTGTGAGTCTAATAAGGATTAAGATTTTGTTATAATATTTATACAAGATCTAAGGAAACTACTTTTCATGCAGAAAGGGTGCAGTGTTTTTATACCTGAATTTCATAAGGAATCTTGCTGTTTAAAATTCTTTCTTAGACATCTTTCTGTTGCCATAAAATGATAACAAGCAACAATCACTTTTTTTCTAATTCTAGGCCTCATTCCTAGTTTTGCCTTCTCCCTCCTTCTCCCTCCTTCTCCCTCCTTCTCCCTCCTTCTACACACACACAAAAAAAAATCCCCTGCATACTGTGAATCTAATAAGGATTAAGATTTTGTTATAATATTTATACAAGATCTAAGGAAACTACTTTTCATGCAGAAAGGGTGCAGTGTTTTTATACCTGAATTTCATAAGGAATCTTGCTGTTTAAAATTCTTTCTTAGACATCTTTCTGTTGCCATAAAACGGTAACAAGCAACAATCACTTTTTTTCTAATTCTAGGCCTCATTCCTAGTTCTGTTCATTTTGCCTTCTCCCTCCTTCTCCCTCCTTCTCCCTCCTTCTCCCTCCTTCTCCCTCCTTCTCCCTCCTTCTCCCTCCTTCTCCCTCCTTCTCCCTCCTTCTCCCTCCTTCTCCCTCCTTCCACAGCTTTATAGGGATTCCCCAGACCTCATGGTCAGGATGAGAGTGGTGGCATTTTTTTTTAGCAGGGAAAGGGGTGCAGTGCAGAAGGAAGGCTGTCTTCATTTATACTTGAGGTAAGAAAAAACCTGGGGCTTAATTCTTAGCTCTTGAAGGTTACTGTACTTACACTTGGAAGCCAATATCCACAAATAGCTAGTTCAGTAGTTAGGAGTAAATGGACTGTGAATACTCCAGGCAATTCTTCTTTTGCTCAGATCCATATTCTACGATGTTAGAGGGGATCTGACTTAGAGACAACTCCTTCACTCACTCTGGACTCCACTGGTTTTATTCTGCTACCTGGCAGCCCTTTTCCACCAGCCTGGCAACTCGTGCTGGAGTTCAGGATCTGTGGCAAACAATCTCTCCTGGGGGCAAACAGCCTCTCCTGGGGGCACACCAGTGGTCTGAGCAGCCTGACAGGCTTGGTGAAGGAGCTTGTTTGGCTTCACAACACTTTTCCTTGTTGCACAAACCATTTCTTGCTATGAAGGCAAATTATCTCCTGCTGTGATGCTGCCTTGGATGGGCAGATGCTCTTCTGTCCTTTCCACTTTCTTTCCTTCTCCTCTCTGCTTTCTGCTGCCCAGTAAACTATTGTAATTTAGAAGATGATTTAAAGAGATAATCTGTTTTCCATTCAAGCTCTTTCTGTGGCTTAGCTGCCCTCTTTTTTATTCCCCTCTATCCTTCTAGTATCTTGGCTGCCTTTGTGAAGAGACTTCCTCCTTTGCTGCTCAGCAGTTACTTAATGCTACCTGCTGCTTTCTTCATCTTCTCCTACTGTGCTGCCTGTTCCTACCTCCTCCCACAAACACTCTTTGATGCCCATGACCCTATTAATCTCTCCCAGTGTTTTTTTCCTCTGTGTCATAAAGCATTTGTAGAAACACAGTGTGTAGCTGGAGGTCTGGGATCAGTCAGGGCATGAAGCACCAGCTCACTGTGTATGCATGAGCTCCAACTGAGTGCACGTACAGAATTGAGTCTGTCCAGTTTGCCAGGAATATTTGCATCAAAATGATTTTCTTCTGAGAGCTAAGTTTTCATAAGAGATAAGGAAAATATTTTCAATGTGTGAAAAGCAAGGAGAAAAAATAAGTTAGGCCAGGGAGAAGAGGGAGAGCTTGGATGATAACCTAGAATTCAGGAGCTCATCCTTGCTTTGACCCAATTTTCTGTATGGCTGTGAAGTTGCTTAGGACAAAGTCCATCTCAATGAAGTTAATTAGGGAAAAGGGATTGTTTTGGATTTTTTTTCCTGCCTTATAGGGATATATATATTTCTGCCTGTAGAGATCCTCCACATGAAAATCCCCTGAGAAATGGACTCCTCCTCCCTTTATAGGCAATTACAGAAAGGAACTTAAGAAGTTGAAAGCTTTCTGATCTGTATGGTAAGGGAGAAACACTAGATGCTGTATCTTAATGCCTCTGATTTCCTCTGATGATCAAAAGAGACATGAGCCACCCAGACAATTAGAATGTGTAGGAAACCATCCTTTTGTGGTAAAAAATATCTCTCATTTATTGTGAGTGGATTAAGGATTGGCAAACTGAACTGAAAACTTCCTGCACTGCACTGCAGGGTCTAATTTTACTTAATTTATTGAATATTAAGTAAAGATTTTAAAGATTATTAAGATACAGAAGTGTTTAACATGATGTAAAGATTATTAAGATACAGAAGTGTTTAGTGTCATGCGCCAGCTCACCCTGTCTCATGGTTTGGATCAATGGAGAGAAACACTTCTAATCTCCCCTCCATCCTGAACCAGGACACTGCAAAGAGGTGTGTAGAGAGGAGTAGCTGCTGAGAATGGGTCAGCAGGGAGAAGAATTATGTGGCCACTTTAAAAAAAAAAAGCATTTGTCATGAAACATCAATTATTTATTAAATGTCTTATGTCCACAATACAGAACAGGACAATCCCTGCCTGCTTTGGTTTGGTTTATGGTTAGGTCTGAAACCAGTTGGGTTTTTTTTTTCCCTTGCACCTCCCAAATCTTGGTTGTGCATTTCCATCCACATAAGTCTTTAGATCTTGGCTCAGCCTGTGACTAGAGCTTCCAATAGGCAATTTGTGCCCATGATTAAAGAGGAAGAGCAGAGTGATGCTATGTGCAGAGCTTTGTGGGTGCCTGCCCACCAGGGACCACTGTTGAATGGTTTATAGGGACTTCTTTGAGACAGCTCCAGCTTGTTGCTCCTTTTTTCCCTGCCTGATGATCCTGTTGCCCTTTCCATGCTGTTCCTAATTACTTGGATTTTGTTTCCTTATGTTTTTCTATTCTATCTCTTCTCCCTTCAAAACTCTGCTTAAAATGGACTCATTTGCCTGTGTTTCCAGTTTTTTAGGGTTTTGCTGGCAGTGGTCATGGTCACCTTGGGTCACCTTTCAAGGTTTGTATAAGCACAGAGCTTACCCAGCTTGCTCTGTTGCTTTGACATGGCAGGGTCCTGCAGTGGTAGCTGCTTGTGCAACCTCCTTCTCAATAAAACCATTTCAGGGGAAAGCTTTACTTTGTACAAATCAGACCTTTCGTTTCTGTTGGTCCCTGGCTGTGCACAGAGGTAGAACAGGGCACTAGAAATGCTGAAGATGGGAGATGCTACTCAAGCAGCCACTTCACGACAGAGAAATCAAACCCCTGATCTCAAAACCTCACAGACCTTGGTTTTTATCACAGCCACCATTGGATCCAGAACTAATTTTGACCAGGTTTAACCAATCTAAACTGCTCCTCTCAAGTGACTAAGAGACAAGACAAAGACACATAGTGTACATTTTTCTCAGAGGTATCTTGACCCTTTCACGCTGCCCATTGGAGCATCTCTATATTATTTAGAATGGCACTTTATTTTTATGATGAGTCTCCTCTGTGATTATTTCTATCAGTAACACTTTGTTGGCAGTCATGATAAAATTTGTACCAGTCATGACTTTTAAAATATCAGCTGAAAATGGTTTTGCAGGAAATAAGAATTATAATGATTAGAAGGCTGAGGAGAAAAAATATTCCCATGTTCTAGAATTTGAGGTTGTTTTTTTTCTGTTTTTCCCAGGAACACAAATGTTGTCAGGAAGCAAGAAGCAGCAACACACCATGGGCAGGAGCAGCACAACGACCTCTGGCTCTCTTCCAGAGACAGCATCCAGAAAGGCAATCGCTACTGATGGCTCATTGAAAAAGACAGTTCACTCCAAAAACACCTCCAAATCCAAAGAGATCCAAGCACAGGGCATCCTGAAACCAAAAACGTCTGTCTTCGGTAGTATGTGCAATATAAAGGCTTCATCAAGAGCCCTCGTTGAAGAAAATCCTCACAGGCAAAACCAGCTCCTAAAAAGTAAGGTACAAATCCTACTGTGGTTGTTAGGAATATGGTTTCAATAATAAGATGAGATCAGTCTCAAAGAAAAAAAGTGAAATAATGGAAAGTCAGTCTGGTTTTGTCCAGCTTTAAGTGCTGAGTATGAGTCATCTGGTGAGAGATCAATCAGCTATCTGACTGTATACATTGCTATGGTTAATAGAAAACAAGATTAAAATGAGATAGATAGGCTTACTTTGTAAGTAGGTTCAAGAAAATCTTGAAAAAACATTAAAATTGCAGAACCAAGCAGTCCCAGTCCAGCCAAGAAACACCAGAAGTGAGGTTAATTTTACAACCCTGTTCTGATACCTTTCCTTTCAACTGTGCAATCCTTTTCCTTTTGACACATGGTGCACAGGCGTAGCATGACATACCTCCTTTGGGGACATTACCATGAAGATTAAAAAAGAAAAGGTTTAACAATTGATTATCAACAAGATTTTAGCATGTAAAATATAATTTCCTCGAGTTCAGCACATGTTTGGAGGTTGTCATTCCAGCACTTACTCAGGTGGCTAAACTGGAGATGACAGAAGCAGCAGTATTTATGCATAAGGTATTTTTCCAGGAGATAACTGAGATATAATAGAGATTAATTTGGCTTTGGTGTCAACAGGTTTGTGAGACATCTACTCCAAGAACACCATAAAAGGGGTAAAAATGGTCATATAACATTTTTCTCTCACAGTGTTTTTTCTTAACAGATTTTTTGCAGGCAGGTAGGCAAAACTTTTTCATTATTGCCTATTAAAGCTACTGAAAATAATCCCCATTTAGGCCACCTCACTCACTGGCAATGACTTAGTGTTACAAAAGTGAAGCATCCACTGAGATCAATCAAGGATAAAGTTAATCAACACCTCTGTAAACCTGGCTTATCGAGGAGTTTAATTTCATGTTCACAGATTTCAAGGTGGGTTTTTTTTTTTCAGAATAATGAGCAGTATTAGGGAGGAAATACAGTTCAGGCTTTTATGAGGCAAATGTACCCAAGACAGACCATTTTCTTTATTTTTTTTTTTTTAAGTACAATATAATATGTACAATATGTCATAAAGAGGAAAATATTTTAGAGTTTATTGTAACCAAAAATTGAAATAAAACAGTAATGGGCTTTATTCCCAGATATTTAGTTCTAGAAATCAAATTATTTGGCATGAAGTACTCCAGTGTGACTTTTCAAAATAGTCTCTTCCGAAGTTCTTTTGTTATTTCAGATTAATTCTGTCCTCTAAATGAGAATCTTGTCAACTCTAATTTTGAGCACATAGCCTCTTTTGGGCCTAGTTTGTGCAGGGAGTATCAGCCATAGAGCATTAAAGCACAATTCTAAGTGTAGACAATAATCTTTTTGTTCTCAATGGAAGACTTTGTGAATTGACACCTTACATAATAATATGCCCCTTACATATGATTTGTCCCTCACTAAAAGAAGGACATTCAGATGCTGGAGAACATCCAAAGAAGAGCAGTGAGGCTGGTGCAGGGTCTGGAGTACAAGTTTTGTGAGGAAGGACTGAGGGACCTGGGGGTTTTTAGCCTGGAGAAAAGGAGGCTCTGGGGAGAGCTTCTCCCTCTCCACATTTCCCAGGAAGGAGGCTGGAGTCAGGTGGGGGTCGGGCTCTTCTCCCAAGGAACAAGCCATAGGACAAGAGGAAACAGCCTCAGTTGTGCCAGGGGAGGTTTAGACTGGACTTGAGGAACAATTTCTTCCCCAGAAGGTTTGTCCAGGGCTGTGCCAGGCTGCCCAGGGCAGTGGTGGAGTCCCCACCCCTGGAGGGGTTTCCAAGCTGTGGAGATGTGGTGTGAGGGACACGGGGCAGTGGGGACCTGGCTGTGCTGGGGAACAGTTGGACTCGATGATCTTAATGGTCTTTTCCAGCCAAAATGATTCTATGATTTTAACCTTTTGTTTATTATTTTTTTATGGAGTCATTCCTTTGGCTGGTGAATATACAGAAATGATAGAAACCAAGCCATGTTATTAGAAAAGGCAAAAACAAGAGTCGTGTTGATGAGAACCTCAGTATGGCGAGAGAGAAACGAGATGTGATTAAGGTCCATAACAATGTTATTTCCTCCAATACATTGAAATGAATCCCAAGTGCCAGTTGCAGCATGATATCTTCTGCTTTCCATGATGTAACTGTGTCACAAAAGCCTCTTGCTTTTGGGAAGCAAACACCAGCAAACTGAGCTAAGCATCTGAGTGGTTTAATTATGCTTCAATGGCTTAATGTGAAAGATACTCTGGGTGTCACAGGGCAGCGAGTAGCACCTATGATTAGATTTGATCTATTCTGCTTAATGAGGCCTATTAATAATACGTTGGCATTCTTATTTCAGAAATTGCCCTCTATGTCTAATGAGGTGGAGAACCCAATAAAAAATTAACCGTGCACTCTTAACGAACTTTTAAATCTCTCGAAGGTGATTATGAATTCTGTGGTTCAAGTGACAAAACGAAGGAGGGTGTGGAGGAGGATGAGCAGGAGCAAGCCAGCAGGGTAACACTATCTGCAGCTTGCTTGCCAGATGTTTCTCCTGAGAAAAATGACGTGTTCACCCAGCCAGAAACCAGCTCCCTGACACACAAAACTCCACCAGCCCCACGGACGCTGCGGGTAAAGCATCAATTTGTTGTTATTTTTGTTGTCAATACAGGGATTTTTTCATTATTATTATAGTATTTAAAACAAAAATTCCTTCCTCCATCCCTTTTTTCTCCTTTCCAGTGAAATTTAGGTAGCTTTAAGTCCACCAAGACTTGCCTGCCTTCTCCTCCAGCACGTTGCAAACCAATCTCCATTCCTGCCTTCCATCCTAAGACATTCCTGAATGTTGAAGCAACTTTTGACTGGAAAGCATTTTCTTTCTGGATCAGCCATGACTAGATTTGCATGACAATCTAAATAAACAGGAAAGTTTGTGAACTGTTGGTGACAAGCTGCTTCGGCGATGGGGTGAGACAAAGAAACAGGCAAAACATCAAGAACTTGAATTTGGATAACTTGTAAAAATACGTAATTCAAACCCTTTTGGATCTGTTTCTTGAACGTTGGGTGTTTTTTTTTTTACAAATTCTCCTTTGCCTGATTTGGAAATTTCACACCAAGGCAGCTTTCTAACGGTGAAAGGAAGTAAAGACAGATAGGAAGGCAGTTTGCTGACTTTTGGGCAGCCAAGCCATCATTTTCATGGATCATCTTTCTGAACCCCGTTAGATGCACGTCACATTTTTTCCCTTCCTTTTAATTCTTTTCAAACCAAGCATTTTTTCTCCATTTCATTTAGGAAGCCCTAGAAATGCATAACCCTCAGTTCATCTCCCGTTCACAAGAAAGGCTGAAGAGACTTGAACATATGGTGCAGCTGAGGAAAGCCCAGCAGAGCCGTGCTCCTCCGAGCAACCAAGGAGCGCTTCTTCTTCGCAAGCTTTCTTCCTCATCCTCTTCAAGCAAAAAAAAGCAATACACCATTCCTGACCCGCTCAGTGGTGAGTGGAATTGTCACCAGCAGTGGTTCTGGAGCTCTGGCAGTGGAAGGAGTCTTGCTCAGGGACTTTTTGTCATCATCACATGCAATTCTGTTCTTCTGCATGATGCAAGTTGCTGCTGGCTGTAGAGAATCATAGAACCACAGAATGGTTTGGGCTGGAAGGGACCTTTGGAGGTCATCTAGTCCAACCCCCCTGCAGGGAGCAGGGACATCTGCAGCTAGAGGGGGTTGCTCAGAGCCCTGGCCAACCTCACCTGGGATGGTTCCAGGGATGGGGCAGTGACCACCTCTCTGGGCAACCTGGGCCAGGGGCTCAACACCCTCAGGGTCAAAAATTTCTTCCTTAGATCTAGTCTAAATCTCTCTCTTTTAGTTTAAAACCATCACCCCTTGTCCTGTCACAACAGGCTCTGCTAAAAAGTCTGTCCCCAGCTTTCTTTAGGCCTCCTTTAAGTACTGAAAGGATGCAAGAAGGTCTCCCCAGAGCCTTCTCCTCTCCAGGCTGAACAAACCCAACCTTCTCACCCTGGCCTCACTCTTGAGGGGCTCCAACCCTCTGATTAAATGACGTTTCATAAACATCACACCTCACAGAAAGACCATTCTGGGGAGACAAGTGACATGGGGAGATTTGGCAACAGGAGTCCCAGCCTGGTCTTCTCAGCAGCTTCTGGTGTGGACTTGCTCCTTGACTCACAAAGCCCTCAGCAGTGAGCTAGCCATTGAAGAACCCTTGTCTGCCCAGCAGCTCTATGCAAGGCTGCTAAATCAATGCATCTGAACTCTGTGATTTCCCAATTTGAGTTGTTTAGGTTGTTTTATTACCCTAGTGGTAAACAGATTCAATATCCAACAAGTAAAATGGTTCTTTCTGAGAAGCTCCCTTGCAGCTCCCTCCCAATTGCACCTCTGTAAATATCTACATGCAAGATGTTAAACAAATTACTTTTGGTTTTCTTTTTTTTTTTTTTTTAATTGCCATCTGGATGGTAATTAATTCAATTGACTAAAGAAACACATTTACTTGATTGATTGGCATTCCTCTCTACGTTTTGGCTTTAAATCTGTGGCTGTTGGAGGCAGCATTATTCTACTGAAATAAATTGAAAACATTAAAGAGGGAGACGGGTCACTTGGAGGAAGCAGGAAAGAAAATCTTTGATGGCCTCAACACTGGGAAGTATTTATTTATGTCTTTTGGGCTACCTGGGCAATGAGACTGGGTGTAGGAAAGTTGGGTGCAGCCCCCATCTTGGGGCTTTTGGCATGTTTGGGGTTGGGAAGTACCAATTTCCATCTCTACATCAGGTCATCTTCAAAAGTCCCTCAAACCACTCTGCAAATACTTTACAAAACAGAAAAATGAAAGGTTAAACCTAGTTCTCCTTAAATTATAATTAAAGATTAATCTTTATGCTTGCTTAATGAGTAATAAAAGCATAATATTGAAATATATTCATTAATTATTCAAGTAAATGACTATTTCCCTCTTTTAGTGGTTGGTCATTAAAGATGAATTTGTCTAAAGAGAATCTTTAGTTTCTGTAACTCATCTGCCTTTGTGGGGCCACCTGTAATTTTCTGTTTGTGAGATCTTAATATTTTTATGATGACAGAAGGGTTGTATCTTTGTTATTTAAGCATAACTGTAATTAGTACTGGAATTCCTAGATGCCTGATAAAGCCCAACAGTGGAGGCTGCAGTTCAGAGGGCTGAGCAGGAGCGTACTGAGCATATTTAATTTGCTCTGAGTTCTGACAATTGGCATTTTAGGACTTCTCCTGGTGGGTGCTATTGTGCAGAAGGATTAGTATCATTAATGAGTCCCAGAGTGGGGGAATCTTTGTTTCCTATAGGTGCTCCCAAGCTTTTCTAGTTGCAACCCTTCTTGCAGAAGAGACAAGGGCTTCCCCCTCATGCTCACAAAGGGCGTTGTCCTGTGTCCTTCTGAGGAAGGACATCCCACTATGGTCACAGCTTTCTCCTACCCTTTTGCCAGCCCCCAAAGCTAGAAGGAAGAGTAGTTGTCATTTGTTGTCATTGTCATTCTGTATTCTCTGGAAAAACCATTTTAGCATGGAAAATGTGCTTTGGAAGCAACAAAGGACTTGGCCTCGTGCTCTAGAAAACTCAAGTAAAATGAAACACAAATTCAGCTGTAGTCCAGGTGGGGGTGGAAGCATGGGGTCATTTACTGGGTGAAGATGTGAGGATGTCATTTCACATTGTCACCTGCTGCAAGGGAGGCTGTGGCCACATCAGCAGTGTCACCACTTGCTCTGTTGCTGCGCATGGCCCACCCATGCCTCTGTATTTCAGTGGGGTCTAGCAGGACCTGCTCTCTAATTTATTTTCTTTTTAAATTGGGGTTCTCTCACTGAGATTTTGTCAGATCAAACAATTGATCCAGCTTGTCAAACAGTGTGGTGATCAGAGGAGGCGAGAAGGAGGCTTGGAGATGGTGAGCACCACCTCCCTTGGCACCAGCCTTCTGTTTTTCTGGGTGTAATAAGACTGTACCCTTCTCAAAGAGAACTCCCAGGCTGCTCATGTGCCACCCCCATGCTCAGATGACACCAAAAGCTGGATGAGCAAAGCAAACAGGGCAGGGTTCATCCCTACCTATGTTTTTCAAGGCCAGCTTTTCAAGCAGTAGAAAGCCTGGGTTGATGAAGGGCACAAAGTGGCCAGAAGAGGAAAAATATCCTAAGGTGTGTCTGTAGGTTACACCTGATGGTCTTCAAAAAATCCCAGCCACATGCAGCCCCCCTCCAGGTTTCTTGCCCTGGGGAAGCTGGCTGCTCTTTCACAGCAACACACAAAATTAAGGACCCAGGAGGGTTAAAATGATGACCTGGAAACTTTCTGAAGTGTATAGCACTGTATTGATGGTACCTCTAGGTTTCAGGGTGTGATCCTGTGGTTATTTTTTTCAGTTTCCTCCTTTCTCCTTTTTTCTCTCTCCTGATGCCTTTGGGATTTGGGGAGCTAGAGGTCTTTATGGCTCCAAGGTTCATAGGGCTCATAGGTGCTGGTGCACCCTCATACGTTTTCCAGTGATATTACTGGTAAGAGCAGGTTGGCTGATGAGTTCAATTTCCAGTGACCCCAAGGATGGATTGGAACTGCTTTTGTGGCTGGGCAGGAGAAGATTGTCTCTGTGTAGCCCCAAGGTGCTCACAGAGCAGGTCACTGCAGCATCCTCTGCAATAACATGAGTTGTCCAAGTAGTTTTCCACCACCAGAGGACATCCCCTAGCCCAGTTCCCCTTGTGCACCTCCCTGCTCCCATGGGAAGGTGGCACAGGAGAGGGATAGATGGGATAATTTGCTTTTACATGGGTGTAAATGGGGGTTAAGCTGCATTTTCCCTTGGCACTTCACAAGTTTGCTGCAATTATATCTCCAAAGTGAACTCATAAAATACCCTTCACTCTGAGCTCACAGCTTTTCTTTCAACAAGTTTCACCCAGGAAAAAGTGCCATGGCCTTCAGAGGTTTTTCTCCACCTGAGATTATTCTATCAGACTAAAGTATCTTTATTAATACGAAATTATTTCAGATTTTTCAATTCTATGAAATTATTTGCTAGCATGGGTTTCCAGTGTTTTGACAGTGTGGCTACAACTTTAGTTCCTTGTCAGAGAGAGAAGTATTTGCCATTCAGCATCATTTCCATATAAATACAAACATCTGTGCAGTTTCCATTTACCTTCTCATCCTCAAAAAAAAAAAGAAACCCAAGTCGTTTACCATTTTTAGTTCTAAATTCACGAGCAGGATTTGACAAAACGCTGGAAGAGATCTTAGCAAAATGAAACTGTTTACCCTGCAGAAGATTTTATCATCACAAGAGCCCTTGGAAGGCAGAGAACCTGCAACTCTCACGCTAGCCTTTGAGCTGTGTAATGTGTGCTGCTAAATTTCGAGAGCACTAATTAGTCCAAGATAGACTCCTCTGCTGTTGACTACGTCGAACAAATTAGAGACCCCACTGTGACGAACTGAATGGAAACAATGTTCAAATAACTGGATTTAAATCTCCAAAAGCTTAATGTAATTACTTCAGTGACAGGACTACCAGCTGTTTATAGGCCTTTAAATCTGCATAATGAACAGCCTTTGTGATCTTAGTGTACACAAGCACTTTCAGGGGGTTGAAAAGATTTCTCAGACACATATTTGGTCACACCTTCCATTTTCCTTGCCTTTGAGAGGGGGGTGGTTCATTGGGAGCAACCATTGAAGTTGAACGTTAATATTCAACCCCTACCGTGGTGTCTGCTGTGCATCTCTGGGTTTGTAGCCAAATCTTGTATCTTTAATAATATTTTGGAAACAAGTTTCGAGCTCCTCGGTGGTGCTTCTGAATCTTTCCAGAAAGCTTTATTGTGACTGCAGAAGCCTGGAGGGTGAGGGTTGGTGTGTGTTTGTTTGTGTTTTCAAGGGGTTGGTCTTTTGTGAAGCTCTACACCACAGAGGTTTTTATTTGGAGTGTAGAGAGAGGAGAAGATGGCAATCAGAGGATTTACAATAAGTGTGCAGCTGGCAAATCCTCTAGCTGCTGACGTGCATCCTCATGGTCTTCAGATGCCATTGGTGGCTGATGAGATGTTGGCAGCCACCAGCCCATCTCTGTTCACGTGTGACTTCAGGTTGAGCCATTTCCCTGGTTCCTTTTCCCCATCAAAACTCACAGCTAGCAGTAGTGTCACTGACCCTGCTGGCACCTGACTTCTTGGTTCAAGCTGACGGCTCTGAATCAGACTAAGCTGCAATCAGGCAATTGAATTAGGAAGAGGAATGACCTCTTTTATTATATTATTACTCATTACATTGATTAAAGCAGTGTCTATGAGTCAGCTAAACACGGCAGCACATTGCAGGTCAGTGGCAGTGGGTGACACAGTCCCTCAGGAGTCACTGTGATGACGAGGGAGGAGGTGATGTAGTGAAAAGGGTGAGCAGCACATCCCCTCTGTGCCCTCACCCTTGAGAAGTGGGGAGATAACCAGCCTCTGTGCAAGGAAAGAGGCAATAAATAGGGGAAACTGCAGATATGAAGAGTTTTCTGTGGGGCTGATGCCACTGTGGAAACAATGTGCCTTCTACAGGGTGACTCACAAAGTCCAGTCAGTGTGCTGGGGGGTAATTTCATTGGAGTCTTGTAGTGGCCAAACAGAAAACTGATTTTTTTTTCATGATGGACTTTTTAATCCAGGAGTAAAAGGTCTGATTGCACCCATGTTTAGAAATTGAAACTAAAGAAATCAGGATTAAGAAGCTGGGGAAAAGTACCATTTGGACAGAGGAGACTCAAATCTCCTGTATCTTGCCCAAAATTGTGTTAGCATGAAAATATTTTCATAAATCTCTAAACTTTATGGCTTTTTTAGAGATACTTGTGATTTTTTTTTTTAGTGATACTTGAGATACTCAGTTTCCTGTTGTTAAAACTGAAATATCAAGGAAAATCAGATGCCTCAATAGATACAGTGTAGGCCAGACCTGAACAGCTAGAAAACCCATGAACCCTCTTCCTGTGGGTCACCTTGGATGAAGGACCACTTTGGAGCTACAGCATTTCTCCAAGATGAGCAGAAAATCCAGGCAGTCTTACCATCAAACCTTTGAATAGTGGGTGGTTGGTTTTTTTAATAAATATAACCAAAACCTCATCTGTTGACTGCAGCTGAAGTAATTCATTGCGTGAAGTCACTGACACACAATGAGCAAAGGTTTGGGTGTAGTTTAGTTTATGTTCTCTGGGTGAATTCCCAGTCAAGTGCTATGGGCATGTTAAGCTCAATGCCACCTCCACATTTATCTTCCATTCGAGGCTATTTTATTTTTTAAAGGACTGCTGGTTTAAAAAAAACAGTGTTTTAAAATATCTTTTCTATTTTAGGACTTGCCTGAGAGAATGGGCTTTGGGCAAACTAATTTTTCAATTCAGTTAAAAAAATAACACAGTTTAATTAGAGAACCACCACTATCAGCACTTTGCTTGTCAGGGACTGGCAATGTATCCTCAAAGGCATATTTTAGCTCCTAAATGTATGTAGATTCTGATGGGTCCAGTCTAGGCTTTGATAAATTTTGCCCCTCTTTTTTAAGTGTTTCAGTGATTTAATAGTAAATAGTAAGTCAGAGGATGGTTCCAACACAATCATTTTATCTGTTCTCTGTCTAAACATTTACTAACGTCCCAAGCAGGGAAGTTACTCATCCTGAGCTGCAGTTTAGCAGTAGTCAAAATATATTATAGTGATGAGCCATTTACCTTCATTTCCAGCTTGCTGGAGTGGCTTCTTTCTCCCACTGTTGAGATGTCAGACCACTGTTGGATGCAGCGTTGGTATAAATACCAGAAGCTCTGTAGAGTCACAAGGGTTGCATAAAAAAAACACTAAAAAAGTGTTTCATGCTTATCTGTCTATATTTTTAATAACTGTGGTACATCCCTGGAAATGCTGAATGCCTGCTTTGAAATCCCATTTTTCCTAACCAGAAAAAAAAAAAAACTATTCAGAATAGTTTTCTCCAAAAGTAATACAAGGGTATGAAATTTGGTAAGGAATTTGATAAAAGGTAATTTAGAAGACTATCAGCCTTGGGAATTGTCCACCTTATGCTCCACTTTGATCTTTTGCTTGGTAGGGAAGAATATTAATTCAGGTCTTCATGATGTGTTTGGCAAGTTATTCTAGCTCTGAATGTGTGCTGCTCTTCTGCTCTGAAATACCCTTTCTCCTCAGAATGGAATATTAACAAATGTTTAAATACACATCTGACTTTTATTTTCTCATTTATACCTTTTTATTTCATTTTTTTTCAGTTCGTTTTTGAATTCTAAACCTAAAATCCATCCAGGATTAGCTTTATTTCTTCTTGATGCTTGCACGTGATTCTTTTTGTTCTCAGAGAGATACTACGTGACTGTTTATCCCTAAGCATTAACCTTTTGACTCCCAAGCTGCTTTACAAAGGATATTTTTACAACCAAGGTAGATTTATTTTTTTTCTTGGAGGTTTTTCCCCAGAGTCTGTTTTTAATCCTTCCCTTCAAAGCCACCAGCACAACCACATACACAGTTCCAGGCAGAATTGTAGGTATTATAATAATAGGAATTATGCCCTTTAAAACCATTTCTGTGCCATCAGGGGAGGGTTGTTCTGGAGAGACAGCCACGTACTCCAGCAGCCTCTGTGGTGCTTCCCAGCACTCAAACATAGAAGCCAGCCTGTTTTAGTGACTTCTAGAAAAAATACAGATAATTTTGTCAGGCTGTTTACAAGATAGGTTGCAGGCCTGCAGATCCCTGGCTGGGTTTTTCATCCCTGGTGTGTTCTGGTGGCTACGCACAGAGATCTGGAAATGTTAAGGTGTCATTAACAGTTTTTATTTAGAATAAAAATAATTGATTTGGAATTTATTTAGAATAAAAATAATTTAGGGGATCCCTAAAAGAATTAGTTTTGTTCTGGAAATCCTACATCTGAGAATTCATGGTATAAAAGCTCCTAAATTTGAGCAGATATAACTCCCTGTGCATAGGAAATAATAAAACCCTCAGGCTCTGTGCTGGCCACTCACACTGTCTGATCATGTCACATCTTGGGAGAGGTCCACCTTGACTTGCTGTGTGAAGGCTTGGTGCAGGTAGTGCAGGTTTCTGCTGGGGTATTGTTGCCAGTGCCCTCAGCTGCTCTGCTGTGCCCCAGCCCGTGGGAACACACGAGGAACTGGTTGTCCCACCAGGGATCTCATACCAAGAACCCTGTTACCACACAGACAAAAAAAGATGCCAGAATTGACTGTGCAGCATGAAATGCCTCCTGGTTTTGTTTTAGTGCTGCAGAGAACCCGTGGTGATGGTTTTCTATGATTTCAGACCGATCCTGTGCCACTCTCTGGGTTAGAGGACACGCCTTTTGGGAAGGGATTCATCCTGCAAGCCTGAGCTGTCAGAATGTGATGTGCAACCTCGAGCAGCAAGGGACTGTGCTGAGGCTGCTCTGAAGTGTGCTGGGATCCACACTGGTCCCAGAAAAATCGATGACCCTGGACCCTAATCCTTCACCAGGAGCATCTGGGTCACAGGCCATCTGGTCCCTAAAGTTTCGGGGTTATTTCGGACAGCAATAGCATCCAAATATTTATTCTTTTTAAGCTTATCAACATGTAAATGAACATAAACCCACTAATAAATAGAAGACAAATTATATTTTCCTAGCAAATTGAGCATGTTGCTTGTGTGTACTGAAGATTTAATAAGCATGATTAAGTGTAGACAACCACTGAGTGGAGAACAGTTAGTCCTCAGGCAGAGGAGGCTTCGCAGCCTCCCCTCCTTTCTCAGTTTGAGTTTTGAAGACTGTACAAGTTCAGAACAACTCCCTTTTATTTTTACATCGAGATACATTGGTCTTGAAGAACATGTAGCATTTTCCCAAAAAACATGGTAATCCAAGTACAATTTTGCCTCTAGGTGTAGCCCTGTAAGCTGCTCGGGGCTGTTTGATTCCTAAAACATCTCCTATAAATATCCCTGAACCATTTGGTGTTTTAAAAAATGAGGCAGCAAATGTGGTGGGGAGGGGTCCTGTTTTTGGGGACAGTGGTCACTGGGTCTGCTTACAGCCAGCATCTGCACTGGGCAGTTCTGGATCAAATTATTCCCTGTATTTACTTCTCTGCCTTGATTATTATATTTTGTCTCCAGTGAGATGGCAAAAGATGTGGTGCCTGCTGTGAGATATATATTATGTCTTCTAAGCTTCCTTGGAAAATGAAAAGCCTTGAAAGTTTCCATATATATTTATCTTATATATTTTGCAAAGATACTGGTAACTACCTCTGATGTCCAGCGACTGTGAGTGCACAGGGCATCACAACCCCATCCTCAGTGCCCTGGGAAACTGCCCAGACCTGGCTGGGTGTAGGCAACACTCTGGTCATCCTTGTGCTCAGAGATCTCCCTCCCCACTTCTTCTTTCATCATCCTGATGTAAATCTAAGTAACGTAGCTGTGTAGGCAGCAGTCCTCCCTCCCTCCTCTCCCTGGTAAGCATGGTGAGATACACTTTCCTTCATCAAGAATCAGCTCAGTTTATGTAATTACTGGTTTCCCACCTTGTACAAACACCATCCTTCCCCAATCAGAAACCCATTTTTGCAAGGAAGGTGTTAAAATCACCTATTCTTGAGACTCACGGAGTGCTAAGATCAGTAATTATTTTCCTGTATCCAGGGAAATGCTGATTGGAATTATCGCACATATCTTCATATTTGATCAGGAAAGGGTAATTTAATTTTCCTCCTCCTAATGCTCTGCATAATTACTCACGGCCCTGCAAAACAGGTGTAAATTGAATCAGAAATGCTCATAGCAAGCCAGGTTCCCAGCACACACCAGCTGAGGAGGTGGCTGCTGTATGGGTGCAATTTCCTGCAGGAGCACGTGGGGAAAATAGATCACTTAGAATCACAGAATACTTTGGAAGGAACCTTTAAAACTCATCTAATCCAACCCCTCTGCAGGGAGCAGGGACATCTGCAGCTAGAGCAGGTTGCTCAGAGCCCCGTCCAACCTCACCTGGAATGGTTCCAGGGATGGGGCATCAACCACCTCTTTAGGCAATATCCTAAAATCATCATTGGTTCTTGAAGTGAATCAAGGGCATACACAGCTCCCTGTGACAATGACAGGTCATAGGCACAGAAAATAAATGGTACTTGTCCTTCCTTACCTTCCTGTGAGGCAGCTTCAGGAAGCAATTCACCTCCAGATGAAGATGTTAAATGCCTTTCCATTGACCTGTTGAGATTTGGATCTACCCTTAGGCCTTCCAAAATTTAATCAAAACTAGAGTATCATGGCTACAGGGAATGTGACATTTTAAATTTCAGTAAATATGGGTTCCTCCAATATTAACTTTATTTTCCCTCTGCTAGATAATCTCTTCAAACCAAAGGAAAGATTCATTCCAGAGAAGGAGATGCACATGAGATCAAAAAGGTACAAATCTCTTGGGTTTAGAGTTCACTGCAAGACCTTGCTCTCTCACACCTCAGGCAGCACATTTCCACATCATCTTCACGTGCTGGAGGTTTTTCACTCTGCTTGCCATGCAGATTATGTGCTAATTATGGCACACAGTGCAGGAATTACAAGAAGCTATTAGGAACGTGGTGTCTGAGCTTGAACTGCATTGCACTTCATGCCATCCTTTACAGCCAGGAAAGCTGCAAAAGGGCAGAATTCATCTCATTTTTCAGAGTGTTCAAGATGCATCCCGTTTCTCTTCTCCAAAATACAATCTCCAGCCAGAACAGGCTGCTTCAAGAATTTGGTCTTGCAAAATTTGGTGATGGAAGAGCAGAACTAAACAGGGTTTGTATGTTTGGAAAGAATAGGGCTGCTGCAAAGGAATGTCCAAATTTCCTTTCAAATCCTTGGGAATTTTATATTGATTTCCATGGAAGGAGATCAGACCAGGAGTCAATTTTTTGAAGGCAACTCATGTTCTTTTTAAAATGGACAGATTATGTTCTCCTTGGTAAAAAGGGCTCCTAATGACAGGGGAAAAAAACGTTAAGAGTCTATAGTCATCTAATGATGGTTTTCTTCTCTTTTAGAAAAATACTTGAAAATAATTGCTTGGTATTAATTTTGTGATATAAATATAAACAAGTCTAGAGGCCAGATTCTGGTTTGAATTATGCTGCTCTAAATTGAACTAATTCCACTGAGCTCATTAGAAGCTACTCTAGAATTGTGCTGCTGCATTGAGATAACCTGATCCTGTCTCTATTTCTTTTTTAGTTCAACATTATCAATGTTTTTCAACAAGGTAATGTTTTAGATAAAAGCATTATTATTAATAATTTATATTTCCTGTGGCATAAATCTCATTCAAGTATTTAGAGATGTCCATTAATGACAAATATTGCATTGAAGCCAAACGTTTCCTATAGGAAAACCAAATTATTTGCAAGTCCCAGGGATGACGTGTGACGTTAACTTTCCAAATTCATTGCAGGATTTATGACAATTTACCCGAAGTAAAAAAGAAACAAGAAGAAAAACAGAAACGGATCATCCTCCAGAGCAACAGGCTGCGTGTTGAGATCTTTAAAAAGGTAAAAATTTACTCTGAAGGCCACGTAGAGCTTCGTAACCCTTTGTTACCTGTGCCTGGGGTCCTGCCTGGGGAGCCTCTGGACCATGTGCAAACCCTGAAAGCAAAGGATGGGTTTTAAATCTTGTCCTTGGGGTTAGGCACGTGTTTAAACTTGAATTATCAGCTGAACCTGGGAATAACTACCCCAGACCTTTGTTTTCTCAAAATGAGTAATTAATTGTGGTAGAAAGCTGCATTAGTGCAGTTAATCCAGGTGCAGAGCTGAGGCATTCCCAGATAATCCTGCTCCACGTTCCACATAATTACCAATTTTTCTTTGTTTAAATGCTCTGTCCCTCCACTTAATCACACCCTGCCTGGCCAAGATGGAAAAAAAATCACTTTTTTTCCTGTTTTGAGCCATCTAGCCTGGTAGATTTGAAGTCTGAGAATGCCAATAGCATCTCACCTGCAGCACCACTGTAGATTTCTACAGTTATACCCACCTCATATATTTTAATGGGATCTTAAGGCTCTTTTGCATTGCTTTTCTTCCCAGCAATTACTGGACCAGCTCCTTCAAAGAAACACAGAGTGACAAAGGATCTTCTTGCCCATCATCCTAATTGGATCTTGAATGCCTTTGACTGCTAGTTAAACCATAAAATTTATGGTTATCGGAATTACCTGGAGGTGTTTTTCTTATCTTTGGCTCTTTGTATAAAGAAAGATCATTTCTACTTCAATTGAAATTTTAAGGCAACTTTCAAGTAATCAAAAACAGCCTAAAAGGGAACACAGCTGTTTCAGAGCATCACCTTTTGGCCAGTTTACCCAGAGGAAATAATTTTAAGAATTTTTAATGCAAATACTGAATTACAGCGGTATTATTTATCTTAATCTTTTAAAAAGTACACGTCTCTGTAGCAATAGAGCTGGGTTTATAAGATCTGGAAAACTTATTTCTCTGAAGTATTCTATTAATTGATTTCCTGTGAGTTAAATCCTTGAAGTAAAGAAAAATGAATATCATTATTTGTTATGTTTAGAAACTAGCTGAAATAGCATTACCACATAATCATAGCAGCAGCAGTTTCACATTAATACTTAACATACCAAAAGGGACCAATATTTTAGCTCTCTGAAGAGCTCTAGTCCTGTTTATATAGTGAATCTACGTAGCAGGCTTACCTGTTAATGAATAAGATCTAAAAATTTGATTATAAAACGTTTTTTTCCCTCTTTTTCATTGTCATAGATGCTTTACTCCACTTCTGTAAGCATTAAGTATTTATGGAAATGGCATATTAAGAAGTGGTGCCAAGAAGTATGTTTGCATCAAAACTGCAGAACTAAAACCATCTGTAACGTTTGCCTCCAAAAAAATATTTAAATCTTTATTTGTACATTTTGGAAGTAAAAACAAACAGCTTACAAAGCCATGGGGTTTATTTATGGAATAAAAGATGAATATAATATTGATCCAACTGCTGTTTTTATTTGGTACTGTTAAATATAAAACAATTATGGAAACTGGCTGGGAAGTCATGCCTTTGTGTGCCACAGATCCTGTGGTGAAAAATATCATAGAAAATGCCATAAAAATCACTGCAAGTGTTAATCTCTGCTGCAGGAACACTCGGCTGAGTGTGTTTGAATGAGGCTGGAATTTGGCCTTTGATATCCATGCTTTATTTTTCCAATCTAGCCTGAGAGGCAAGGTCAGGTTTTTTTGGAAGAGGGATGTTTGTGAGCTGGGCTTTGGCCACTGAGATAGCCTCCAGCTGTGTGACCTGTGCTGGACACCAGGGACCTGGTTGGAGTTTGTGTCTCTCATACATTACTTTGATTCTTTGTGTTTCAGCTTCCCAGTTTGCCCAGTAGGATTAACGATGTTCATTTTTGCTCACAGAGAAGATATTTATTGAACAAATATATTGCATTCCAGATAGATAGCTTTAAAAACTCATCAATTAGTTTAATATATTTTGAGAGGACGTTTAAGGTAAGGTAATGCTGGCTGTGAGGAAGGAACTGCCAAGGTTCTTCCCCAAAAAAACCCTCCTTTTTCATAGATGCTTTGGCTTGGAAGGGACCTTCAAAGGTCACTTAGTCCAAGCCTCCTGCAGTGTACAGGGACATCTTTAACTAGACCAGGTTGCTCACAGACTCATCCAACCTGACCTTGAATGTTTCCAGGGACTTTTTAACCAAGCAAATAATGCTGCATTGGAAACCAAAGTCAGGATGGGGCCACAAATGGCTCTGAGAAGGATTTGTAAAAGGCACTACAAGAAGGAGCATCCTCCAAGCTTCACAGCTCAGCTTCGTGGTAGATCTGCTCTCCTGTGGGTTGGTTGATCCCTCTTGCTGCTTTCCAGGAAAAACATGTGGCATGCCTCAAACAGGAGGGCCTTTCTCTGGTGGACTTCTAGGTCTCCACCACAGAGTGGAGTCGTAAATTATAGCTGTGAACAAACCCACACACACGGTCTCTGAGACTGAATCTGCAGGATTATCTTTCAAGCTTTCCTCCACTTATGGCTCAGTACAACAACTAGAGACATTTCCCATGGAAGTCAGTGCCCAAATCCCCTTTGCTTTAATTAGAAACCTACCATTTTCCCCCTTGGTTCCTTAATCTCTAATTTCTTGATGTCAGAGAAATGCAGCTTTGGTTCATCAAGTTCATACCCTACAAGAGCATTATTTCCTAATGTATCCACAGAGAAATACTGCATATATTTAAGCCTGCTTTACTGTATACATTTAATTCTGCTTGCAGTCTTACCCTAGAGCCATAGCAAGACATTTTGGTATGGAGACAAGACATTTGGTGTTCGATATCCATGGAGCACACAGCAAGATACTGCCTGGCTCAGGGATGTCCTTTGGTTTGGGACTGACACCTAGTGCCACCAGAAGAGTGCCCCAAAACTTTTCCCACTTCTTCTCTGGCAGAGTGGAAGAGCCAGAGTCTTCCTCATTGGGAGTGAAGGAGTATTTTACATGGAAATCAGACAGGTTTTCCATGTAGGAAATGCCAAGAACTGCAGAGAGCTGCCTTAATCTAACTGGTATAATAGATCCCTCTTCCATGCTCAGACAATTTTGCATGTAAATATATATGCATATTTGACATGCTTCTCACTGTCTGTCTGGGAATATCAAACAGAAGAGTTGATCCTCCTTGGAATTCATGGCACCAAGGTCCTCGTGAGGAAATGAACCATGGGAAGAACTGGGATGAATGGCAGAAGCTTGGTGTGACATTTTCAGCCTGAGTTCTGCCCCTTGGCACCCCTGCCAGCATGCTGACCAGGGCAGGACACTTCCCAACTGACCTGGCTTCCTCTCATCTCTGGTGGCCATCCTCAGGGACAAGGCACTGCACCATCCTGCTGCATCCTCACCTCCCCTGGCTCATCAGTCACTTCACCTTCCCACAGGCTTAAAGCTGGGGCATTAGTCACAACATCTTTTGGGCTCGTAGAAAGGTTCTTTCCAAATGTTTTTGTTTCCTCTAAATGTAATTTTCAAAATCTGCAGGACAGATACGTGGCATTTTGAAGTGGAATTTCTCTTGTATAAATAAGCTTGGGAGTTTACCTAGAGAACAAAAGGCATAATGCAAATCACTCTCTGGGAATGTTTTGTATGATGTGAAACCTTTGTTTCAGAAAACCAAAAATGATCTCTGTTGCAAACCTAATTTCTCATTCTGGGCATCAGAAGAGAAGGTATCTGGTAATGTATCCAGCAAAACAATTCTGACATTCATTTCAGCCCTACAATTCAGTCATTGTAATAGAAAATAGACTGTAAAGGAAAATGTTACTTCAGAAAAACATGAACCTCGCAAGTTTAGACATCGCAGACATCAACTTAATGAATTTTGGAGTCAGGAAAAAAATTTGGTGCCATTTCACTTTGGACTTGCAGGCATTTCAAAGTAAAGAGTACATTTGCCATCGGATAATGTTTGACACAGAAAACACCTCAGCCTCAATTGGAGATCATGCACACTTGTCAAATACTGGAATTTTCCTTCTTGTTGGATGCTGTTTGAATTCAGGTTCTCTGGCTGTCAGCCCATGCCATGTGTCTTCAAGAAGGATGCATTTTCCTGGTGGTACAACTCTATAATGATGAACATCTCTGGTACTAGCCGTTGCCTGTTGTTCCCCATCTCCCTTCCTGGGCCACCTCTTTTCTTGCTGCTGGTTTGTAAGTGCCCAAGGAACAGTATTTAATAAGAAGTGTTGGTTGGGGTGAGATGTTGGGATGGTTTCAGTCAACACATTGACTTGATGTCGTCCTTCCAAAGCAGAAAGCCTCCAAGTAGGGTCAAGATCTTCCATTATTCACAATGGAGCCCACACGGGGAATACACACTGGTTGAGGTGTTTGCTTGCTTGCTGGCATCATTAATTTCATCTGACAGAAATACCTCATTGAGGTTTGAAAGTCCCTGCAATGTAAAGCGTTGAGGGTTATGGTCTTCTGGGGATTTATATTAAACCCAAATATTTTCCTGTACATGTGTATGCAAGTCCTCAGTCCCTTCTTCCCAGTTTACTCAGCTGCTCAGATGGGGAGACTGTCTGGGGAAGAGTTTTTAGGAGTTTTGTTGTTGAGTCTCTGGGATTGGTCATGTTAGTGTAATGTTTTCTGATTTACAAGGAAAACAACACAGAAAAGCAGGGATAAAGTTTTTGGCAGCTCTGTCCAGAGGAAACCACTGCCCAATACATCCACTGTGGTAAGAGCTCGGTGGCTAAAAATACCTCAGCTTGCCTCGTTCATTTGTCCCTTTGACTTGAGGGACAAAAATGCCTGTGTGCCTTGATGGGTGGGTAATTATCTTTCCAGGAGCATTGACTGGCCACTTGTTTGCTGAGTGAGTAGATCACTGCAGAGCGTTGTCCCACAGGGTCATAGCTCATCCAGCACTATGACTGAAGCCTGTGTAGTTTATTACTCAGTGAGCTTCTGGCTGAGCTGGGTTACAGCCAACTGGATGCCTGTGAGATGCCCTCACTGTGCTCCACTGCTGGCATGGCCACGGGTCAGTGCCAGGCAATTTGGGGGTTGAGAAGTCCCAACCCCAGCTGAGACCATTCCCAGTCTGCAGTCTTCCAAAGAAGAGGTGATTAGAAAGCAGTGGCACAAACTAAAAGGCAAGAGCACCTGAGCATAAAATGAGACCAGGAGAAAAGAAGATACTGAAAATCTTTCAAGATATCCTGTAGGTAGAGAAGCTCCTTGTATGTATGAAATTATTTGTTAAGCTTTGATTGAAATGTGCATCTACTGATACCACAATCATAAAGATCCTTGCCCAAAATGAGAGAGAAGAGCCCATGTTGGTCATTCAGTGGTTCTAGTCTGCCTGGTGATAATGGTGTAACAGTCTGTTGGGCTCTGGAAGGGAAACGTGTCTCCTGGCTGGACTACCTGGGAGTGTTTTGGGAAGCTAGGGGGTTTTTTTGGAGGTTATGATTTTCTCTCTTGTGATGTCTGTTTAGCTGTGATAAAACTGTTGAAAGAAGTGTGTCATGAACACATTTCTATGTCAAAAATAAAAAGCATCCTCTTTTTTTAAGTCAGGCATCTTATTTTTCCTAGTTCTCCTTGGCTCTGTACCAAAGCTGTAGGAGGCAGAATTACTTAATATCCATTTTAGGTGACCCATAGAATAAGATAATGAGGTGTATCATCTCCCTACCAGCTGCAGAATGATTAAAAAAATCACCCAAACAAAAAAAAAAGGAGAGGAAACTGCACAGATGTGCTCCTGGTCCATACAATTATATAAAATGAGTAAATAGGAAAAGTGCAATGAACTGCTCGAGGTTCATGTTTCATAGATAGGAAGAAGTAAAAGAGTGTTTAATTGCAGAGATTATTTTTTTTCTTGAGAAATTGGTGACAGTGATGTATTTTTAGACTTCATGTTTTAAATACTTTTATCTTCTACAGTGTTTTACAATGAGTAGGCTTTAGTTGAAGTATAATTATAAGATCCTTATGCAAAGGTGCACGTGTAGGCTGCTCTGTGGTTCTAATGCTACTGCAGGTCTGCAACTGGCTTGAGAAATTGCCAGCAGAAAATGGCAAAGCCCCTTTTGAAACCCTTCAGCTTCAACTTCTAGCTTGGGGAATCTCTCAGTACACCATCCAACGTGCTCATGCAGCTCTTGAAGGTAAGTGTGCATTTTGCATCCCCTTCTGGGGTGATAAAGTGAAAAATAGTGACCAAAGGGTGGTCATGGAAACGTGGTCATGGAAACGTGGCCAGTCTGAACTTGGCCTAAGCTTCTGATTACAATTATTCTGATAATGGCATCTGAAAGAAAGATCTCTCTGCAACCATCATAATGAATTGTAATATATAACTGTGGCCAGGGACTTCAAAATTAAACATATCCAGACAGAAATCTGGTTTTGTAGCTAGGTTGTCCTCTGAAAT